ACATACAAATTTAAGATGATCACCATTTTATCATCATAAAGTATTCTTTTTTATGTTTAGTAATAAATCTTGCTGTAGATTCTACTTGTCTGAGTTCCAGAACTTGAGCCAAGTTTAAGGAAAAACTCTCCGGTCTTTCCTGAGTACTTGGCAGAAATCTGAGAATAAATGACTCTAAGTTTTGTGCCTTAAATGGCTTACCATTTAGAAACCACATATTTTTCTCTTTTAAGTGCCTGATATACTTATACTTGCTTGTACTATCCTAGTTCTATCCCTGATATTCGTATAGTAATAATATGTTTCTATTGTTAATGTATGCTTAGTACATTTCTTTTCCCTCCTGTATTTCTCCACTCAATTATGTGAAGTGCCTCTAGCAAATAGTATATAGATGGGCTTGAGTTTTAATGCATCTTAATAAAATTTGACTTTTATTTGAATCATCAGTCAATTTATATTAAATACAGCCACAGATATAAATCAACACATGGTACCAGGTTGCTTTTTAAAAAAAAATCATCTGTATTTTAAAATTGTTTCCTGCTTTGCTTTAGATCAATTAATATTTTTATTATACTTTGTCTTTTATTTTGTTTCCTGTTAATATCATTTTTACTTTATTCTTTAAGAGTAGTCTTAATGATTTAAACCTATATCTTTGTCTTAATACAGTTAATCTTTGTATCATGTTTGGAAGAATTCAAATATCTTATAGCACTTTTTATTTATTTTGCTTCTTCCATTCTTGAACTATTATTGATGTCATATTTTATATGTAATACATTATGAGCTCCATAAATTATAATTAAATACTATGTTTAAATCATCAATATTCTTTTACATATGTCACTTTTATAATGTTTTTACTTTTTTTGCATGTTTTCATTTCCCATGATTTCCCTTCAGCCTCAAATTTTTTGTTAATATTTCTTTTTAGCAGCAAATTCTTTTACATTTTTAAAGTAGGATTGAAAACATATTTCACTTACATTTTGAAAAATAATTTCACTAGCTATAATACTTTGGCTAGCAGTTTTAATTATGTTTTCCTTTATGTACTTTAGAGATGCCATTCCATTACCTTTGTCTGCTATTGTTTGTTTAATAAGACCAACCCTCTGTCTCACTTTTTCTTTTTGAAGATATGTCCTTTTTTCTGTTTGAGTTTACTTTTTCTTTTCTTTGTTTTTGAGCAATTTAATGACATTTGGAAAATAGATTTTCTTTGCAATTCTACTTCTTCGGGTGATGGATATTCTTAGCTTTCTGGATAATGTATTAGTAAAACTTGGAAAATTCTCTTCCATATCTTTTCAAATATTGTTTCTGTTCCTTTTTTCCCCTGAGATATCAACTATATGCACATTAGTTCACATTCAGTATTAATTTTTGTTCTACATTCATTATTATTCAGTTCTAGTGTTTCTATTTCTTTTTCACTTTGTGATTTGGTTTGGATACTTTTCTCCTTCTATGTTAACTAATAATTTATTTACTACTGTCCAAGCAGATATTAAGCCTATTATAAACCTTTTAAATTTATATGCATTTCTTCAGCTGTAGAATGCTCCATTTGATTGTTATATTGATTTTAGTTATATTTGAATATACTCTTTTTTTCCCATTCTGTCCTTCATTTTTCTTCTTTATTTAAAATTATTATGTTAATTATTTTAAGTCTTCATCAGTTTATTACAATGACATTTATGGAAGTATTATGTAATCTGATTTACTCACTGTTTATTTTCATTTACATTTGTATGTCTCATATTTATTTTTATATTCCAGAACTATAGCAAGAGAGATTGATGTTATTTTCTCTCAGATAGGATTTGTCCTTTCTTCTTTTATGCAGACAGACTGAAGTCAATTCACCTGTTTCAGTAGGAATTTAACTAGAATAAGGATCACTTTGTATTAATTTATCCCCCTTGTAATAGAGGGACAGATAAAAACATGTATTTATTACAGTCACCTTCCTTTAGCAGAACTTTGTCTCCTAAGCATTCCAAGAAACAGAAGTTTCTGCTCTGCTTTATACTATTATGGACACTTTAGGTAAAAATATATAGTCAGACAGGGTTAAGCACTTGAGGGAGTCTGTGCAGAAAATGAAAACACATCAAAAACTGGCTATAGCCAGGGATTTAGCTCAGTGGTTCAGTGGCCTGCCTTGCAAGTGCAAGGACCTGAGTTCAATCCCCAGTACCAAACCAAACAAAACAAAACAAAAAAACAACAAAAAAACCTGGCTATAGGCACATCTGAAGATTAAAGTTACAATGGCCTAATTTACCTGCTTCCCTAAGGAAGCTTGAGATTATTGGTACCATTATTTTGAGATTTTCCATATTAATTAACAATTACCTCATTAGGTGTGGGACAACTCCCACTTACTAAGATTAAGACTACTAAGACGAAAAACAAGATCAAGACTATAGATTGTCTACCAAGGTTACTGATTTTATCCATATGCCCTTCCTATTGTTCAATCAATATTAGCTAAGTAGCTATATTTGTACTTGTTTTGGTTGATTATAACTTGACCCACGTTGTACCCACCCCTTGTGGCTTTGCTCTATAAAACTTTCTTAGAAAAATGGGATCATTGGCAACCCATTCAGGACCCCTCCAATTTCTCAGGAGCTATCTCTATTCCCCATCCTTATTCTCTATTCGTATTCCTTATTCTTATTCCCCAATACATTTTCCTGTTCTTAACCTCTGTTGTTCCTTATAATTCGTTCTTCAACTTTGGGGAACACAAACTCAGTGTATCTGGCATCTTGCAGATTGGGAATCACATTTATTTCTCCTGTATCAATGCCATACATCACTCATGTTTGGAGCTCCTGGGCCACCCCAAGCTCTGTTAATCTCTCTTTCTCCTAGTAATAGATATGTTTGCTTTTTGTTTGTTTGTTTGTTTTGCTTAGGTCAAGTTGGATCTTTAGCATATGCAAAGATTTAGAGAATGCTTTCAACAAAGAAAGCTGCTAGTCTCATCTTTCCTATGAAGAGATATATTGTCTTTTGGCAACAGTTGATTCAGTCTTCTCATCATTAAATGGACTTTTGGATTTTTTTTCTGAATTTGTTGACATGAGAATATAGCATATCTCTTCCCTTCTTTCTACTCAGAGGTTGGAATAGAAATAGACATTCTAACTTGTGTTTTAACTGCAGTTTATTTGTCAGGGCTTGTGTGAATACTGTGATTAAAATAATTTTGTCACATTTAGACTTGTAAGGGTTAACAACCTTAATTAGTTAACAGTGCCTGCTATGGGGTCAGATATGGAGTGTGGAACACATCATGCTATTTCTTTATCTAATTGCACTATTTCTTACTTTGTTCCTGATATTTTTTTAGTTAGTGAATGTACCCAACAAGTAAGAAAGATAGGAACAAGCAAGTACAATACAGTTGTCTTGTTCTCTGCTGTGGGTTCACTTCCTAGAATAGTGCTAAATACATTGTGTATATTTAAATATATTCACTGAAAGGATAAATAAAAAAGTAAATACTGTGAAAAAGGTGAGACCTTTACTTAAGTCTTGGAGTGTCACCTACGTTCAAGACTAAAACTCTTTCTAGCTCAGTTTTTGTATTTTTAGTTTGCAATACATGAAGATCAGATAATTTTGAATGAGTCATTGAATCAATGTGCTTTGGGATAGGCCATTATAAATATTTTTGGTGATGCTAAAATAATTAGAGATTTATGTATTCATTCTGTGAGTACTACTGGTTGCCTATACTGTGTCATATACTATACTGAGGGCAATTTAAACTAATATTAGTATGCAGGTTTATGCAATCAGTAAGACCATATATTTAAATTTTTAAGTGACTGCTACATAATGTATTCAAAGTGATAGATAAATTTTGCAAAACTAGTCATTCAGTCATATAATCTTGAAGTTGAAGATCAAAACAAATTGTCTCATAAAAGACAAATCATATGTTTTTGAACTACCTATTGTTAATTAGCATTTAAAATGTATTATTTAAGTTCCCTTTAAGTTATGAAAGTCTATTTGTTAACCAATTTGTTTAAATAAATAAAATATAAAATCGTAAGTACGATTTAATCACACAACTGATTTATATATATTTCAATCTTTATTTCTGAAATTGGATTTTAGGGTTGAATTTATACCTTTGTACAAACAGGAAAAGAGAGATTTAGAGTTATTTGGTACATAGTTTAGATTTAGATCTGCTTTATTAAATGAAAATATAATTCTTGGTATAGTGAACTTGGACTACCTTTAAAAATTCTATATAGTTAATAATTCCATGAATAACTTTGTGTCACATAATAATATTTATTTAGTTAATGAGTGAATTTAACCCCCTAACAGGAACAAGTGATTATAGATTTGTGTTCCTGTAAAATTTTCAGTTTTTTTATTCTAAGTATGACTAAATTATACATTATCTCTAATGCAAATTATAACCTTTAACTTTTCTTACTAGCAGCTTTAGAATTCATGTAAGAGTTTTACAACTAAATAGCTTTGGTTTCCTAGACTAAATTATGCCTTTTATTATGAAACTTCAATAGTTTCCTCCTGTTGGGTATCTTCACTTATCCTGAACCATCAAAACAGTATCTGACCACAGGAAAATCATTGTATTTTCAATATGGGTTTTGAGAAGGTTAATGAAACTATCCAGATGGTTAAAAATTATTTTGCAAAGCCAGACTAAATTTTTTACCAACTTCTCTGAATGATGTATGTCAAGAAACTCTTTTGGTTGAAATTGGGATGAAATCCACTAACTTGAGGTAGGATGGGATCTGTTGCATCATAGAAGAGAGAAAATACTGAGTCACCCATTAGAAGAAAGTTCCAGGGCTAGCTGTGTGATAATGATTGTATTAATGTAATCATTGATTACATAAATAATAGAAATGACCTTAGAGATTCCTTTTATCTACTAAAATTTTGTGTTTCCTTTTCTTATTCCCAACCCTTCATTTCCTCAGCACTATAAATTTGGTGAAGTATAAGAATTGAGGGATTCCTGAATTCAATAAGCTTCTATCTTCTAGATGTATTAGATGCTGAACTACATGGTGAGTAGTGGTTAAATTTCCCAAATAAATATTTATATTAGTGAAAAAGCGCTTTTTGAGTTCTATTTCATACCTTCATTTATTAAAGGGAAGTATTTTTGTCTCTTTTACTACAATGAAAAAGAGAGGTACTGTTGGCAATGGCTGAGATCTCAGTAAAGAAATTAATACTTTTGGTCTACAGTTCATATTAATATTTTAAATATGCATTTCGTGAAATTAGTTGTCCTTTTTCTAAAAATTTTAATTTGCAATATTCTGTGGTATATGTTAGACTTATCTACTTTAAGAGTTTCACATGTTGGGCTGGGGATTTAACTCAGTGGTTCTGCCGCCTGCTTCACAAGCACAGGGTCCCAAGTTTGATCCCTGGTACCCCCACCAAAAAAAGAATTTCAGATGTTAGCAATAATTTGTTTTATTAATGAAGTGATGAACTCAGTGGATTAGATGAAAAATATTGATGCCCTACATTTATTCTTTATTTTAATGTGAATTATTTTTTCTTTAAATTGTAGACCAGCTGAAAATATGCTTTATATAGGATATTGTAAAAAATGTAAACACAATATTATGTAAAGTTATAAGGTGACGGAAGCACTGAGCTAAATCCCCAGCCTGATTCTTGTAGCTTTTAGCTATGACTGTATACTTTTGCAATGGAGTTCTTCCATGTCTGTCTTTCCTTTCCTCAATTATTTGTATGGATTAGAGATTAAAAATTTCAGTAAACATTGTGAATTTATCCTTGAAAAGTCTATAACAATTTATTTTCCTGTATGTAACTATATTTGTGCCTCTGCACCTCCTTCCCTAACTTTTTGCCTGTGCTATGTACCATCAATGCTCAGTAATCTGATTAAGAAGAGGGGATCATATTATGTTATGGTTGTATTTTTGCATGTGTTCATGTCAAATATTTATAATTTATGCTTACTTTTGAGTATTCTGTTTGCTTATGTTCTTTATCCATTTTTATCCAGTTTTGTAGACATGTCATCAGTATTCATATCAAAACATTCTGAATTGTATATTGTAATTGTTTTTCCAATATGTCATTTGATTTTTATTTTGTTTATGCCATCTTTGTTGCATTTAAGTTTTAGAATTTTTTCCCCAGTACCGTTGATCGAACTCTGGACCTTGCACAGGTGTGGTGCCACTGAGCTAAATCCCCAGCCCTTAGTTTTAGATTTTTTTTTTCAGCTTTAATTGAGTTTATTGGTACATTTTAGGGATACAGTACAGTTACATTCATTGCTGGGATCTTGTACCTCTACATGACAAGTCTTGATTCTCATTTTTCCCCTTACCCCTGCCCTCCCTTCACCCTCTCCTCCCCTCCCCATCTACAAACACTTTATTTCCATCTTTTCATTATCTCACATTTTTCTTTTCCCTTATTACCCTTCCCCTACCCATCTCACCTTCCCTACACCTTTAGTTAGATTTTTATAGTTAAGTCTTTTCCTTATGGTTTCTTAGCTTGTTGTCATCCCTTGAAAGGACTTTCAAAATTCAGATTTAAACAATGCTCCCACATTTGGGTCTTACATATTAATAGTTACTCCATTCAAAATGTAAATTTAATAGAAATTTACTATATGTGAGACTAATTTTCAACTTATTTCCTAACAATTGTTAAAATGACATTTATTCAATAAAATTTTCCTTTCTCACTGATTTTAAATGATACACATGCCATATATGACATTCTTATATGTGTACTGATCTTTTTCCTGACTCTTGTTCTTCTTTAATTTGATCATTAGAATTAGTAACATACTGTTTTATTCACGGAAGCTTTATAATAGACATTTATATCTGACTGTACAAAAGCGTACCTACTGTTCATTTTGACAATTTTTCTATTTTCATTATTTATTTTACAGCATAGTCTTAAAAATCAATTTAGTTCCCTTTCCTCCAAAATATCCCATTAGAATTTTGACTAAAGCTTTGTTTCTATTTATAAATTTGAGAAGAATGAACAGCTTCACAATGATAACATTTCCATTTAGGCACAGGATATATTTCCATATTTACTGAAGACTTCTACATCTAGTGTTACAGTTTTATAGTTTTCCTCAAGGAGATGTTAATGTTCTGTGTGAAATTTATTCTGAGCTATTCTACAGGATTTTTTGACGTTATGATGCAGTATTTATAAAAATTACAACTTTTAAACTATTGATTTTTAATACATTTAGTCTTTTTAACTGATGTAAAAATCTGTCTCCAAATAGTGATAATCAGTTTCTGTTCCAAAATGAGAAACTAATGAAAGAAACACAACTGCAAATATTTGAAACATTTTTCTTTTCACTTGTATTGTAACTGATCAGAGTGATATAGGAACATGATATTCCATTGCTTCTCTGGCTGTGAGAACAGTATTAGGAACCTGTTGTAACTTTATCCAAAACTAAGTTCTCACTAATTGCAGTTTCAAAATATATTATAGACAAATTATTATGGAAGCAACCCAGGGTACTATAAGGGCATTCTCTACTTCTAAATTAGGCTAATTATTACTCTGTGGCTTGCTTCTAAATCCAACCTTTGCTGACTCTGAGGATAGGTTTTCTCTGTACCTTCTGTTCTAGATACTGCCTCCTTTGAATTACTTATTTCTTAACTCAGTTTTATTTTCATACCTTTTATCTCTCACCGGTTTGTTATTATTCTTATATACTATTGAGCACATACAAAATTATATAATTATATATGTTATGAAACAAAATACAGGTTGAACCTCTCATCTAAAAATCTGAAATTTGAAATGTCCAGAAAAGTTTTAGATTTTGAAGCTTTCATATTTTGGATTTTCTGATTAGAGATGCTCAAGTAGGAAAGTCTATGCAGATATTCCAAAATTCGAAAAATTGTAAAATCTGAAGCATTCCTAGTTCTAAGCATTTTGGAAAAGTGATGCTCAACCTGTAATAAAATGACCACTAGTGAATTTCTCCAATCTCAAGATCTGCGATACCATTTCAAATACCAGATAATCTACTGCTTATTTCTTCTCTTTCTTATTCCTACTTCCCTTGCAGAGAAGGATTTTGTGTTTACCCTGTCCTTTTTTTTTTTTCTTTTCTTTTTTCCTCAGAACTGGTGATTGAACCCAGGGCCTTCGCTGAGCTACATCAGCAGCCTTTCCTCCCCACCCCACCTTTTCTTTTTTTGAGACAGTCACTAAATTTCCAGGCTTTTCTTGAAGTTCTACTGCTTCTCCCTTAGCCTCCCAGAGTGCTTGTTTGCAGACCTGAGCTACCATGTGCAGCTGTCTGTTCCTCTCCCCTCCCTTCTCTTTTCTCCTTACCTTCCTTTATTCTTTCCTTTCTTAATTTCTTTCACTTTTCTGTCTTTTTCTTACAAAAGTTTTATTTGTATAATTTATGAGTAGGTAGACAAGAAGAGCTCAAAGACTTCAAACCTAAAGTAACGATTCAGAGAGGAAAATGCTACTATCCTGACTTGATCATTATACATTGTAACCTTTATTGAATTTTCACACTGTGCCCTACAAATATGTATAATTAAAATAAGAATTAATAAAAATAAGCAAATATTTATTTCTGGTGCATACCTAATCAATACATTATATTAATTTTAGTGTTGATCTATGTAAAAGGCCCCACACTGACATTATACTGCTTCTGTCATACTTTGTTTAAGGAAGCAGGACCAATATGAGTTATATAGAATAAAAGATTTATTATAGAACTTAGAATTCAGGCAGTTGTGGAGACACTGAGGAAGACTGTCATCTGGCAACATCAGTGACAATGCAACTTATCCATGAATGATAGGAATCTTCTAAGAGCTAGTTACTCTTACACTGAGTGTTTTCTGTTACCAAAGCACAATGAAAGTAGAAATCAACAATATAAAAGGACTTGAAAGCAGTACACATGAAAGTTTAAATTGCACCTCATAGTTTAAAGAAAAAAATCATGATGGAATTTAGAAAATAGTTGGAACTAATTAATGAAAATATCCTATATCAAAACCAGTTAACCATAATGGAAATTTTATAGAAATAAATAAAGAGTATATCTCTATATTATCTGGTACAGACTAAATTTGTTAATTGTGTTGTTCAAAATTTTACTAAGTTATAGGCAAATTTTTCTATAGAACCTTTTAATTAAAAATCACATTAAGAGATAGTGAGTTTGAGGCCAGCCTGAACTGCATAGCAAGACCCTGTCTCAAACAAGCAAACAACAAAAAGGACTTCTGGGAAGATGGCAGAGTGGTAAGCAACAGACAACAAGCCTCTCTGAGATTTATTGTCCTGACATTGCAATATAGTAGTGCAAAGAAGAGGAGGAGGAGGGACCAGGACCCAGGAAGAATTTTAAGTGAGAAATGAAGTCTACAGGGAGAGTGAAGAGAGAGACTTTAAGGAAGAAGAATGAGGTACCAAGCAGTGCTCTTCCCAGAGCATTCTGAGAAGGAATGGTGGACTAAACCTGCACAGTGACTACTGATGACCCCAGAGGCCTCCACAGAGAAACACACCAGTGGAACAGAGCCGTGGGTGAACTGGAGTGTAGCAGCTAGTGAATTACGTAGGTTCAGACCTCACCCAGAAGAGGGCGATTTGTGGGTAGCCACCTTGGAGAGGGGCCATCTGAATTTGGAACTCACAATAGCTGTGGACGTACTCCATCTAGTGGCTCCCAGTGCCTCAGTATTCTAGAGCAGAGTTCAAACTAGCAGGAGACACATAGACTGTTGTAGGTTTAAGGAATCCAGTTTCAGCCTCATAGTCAGAAACTGGCCTGAACTTCAGAGGAACTAAAGGGGCAGATTGGCTGAGATTATCCACTACCCCACCATGAAGCTGCAGCTAGATTGCTGGGTTAATCAATTTGGCTCTGGACTGTGCCCACATTGCATAAGAGTGACAGCAAAGACAAACCTTGAATTGGGTTTGGGGATTTTTTCTCTTCTCTTTTTTTCATTTTCCTTTTCTTTTTTCTTTCTTT